AAATGTTTACGTTCAAATGCCGCTCCTGTGAAGTAGTGACGTGCGACATACACCTAGTTTCCAGAAACGAGTCACATATGTTTGATGTGTTTGACACCGTTCCATTCATTTCATTCCAGCCATTACAATGAGCCCATCCTCCTATAGCTCCTTCCACCATCCTCTACTGGTACACAGTCTTTAGCTGTGTGCAAATAACCATACTAACATACTACATACTATCAGTTAGCATAACAAATTACTAGCTAGACATCTTATGACTTCAGGTGTGTTCGTGAATTCAATCTGGAGTGCGTTCAGTGCACTCTGGGCGTTCGTAAATTCAGAGCGTTGTCAGATTGTTTATTTGTAAATTCAGAGCGTTTCGCTCTCGGAGCATTCAGAGCGCACACTGGACGCTCTGGCCGAGGAATAGGGTTGATCCGAGCATTCTGACCTCACAACGGAACCCAAGCTAACTGGCTAACGTTGGCTAACTTGCTAGCTACTTCCAGGCACAAATGAGAGAACACCTCACTCTGACCATTTTACTCGCCCTAGCAGAGCTCGTTAGGCTGTTTCATGTTATCCAGAGCGTTGGTGATTAACTGTGCTGCTGGCAACAATTTAATTATGCTTTTTTGCCAACGTTTACTGACACCGGCCATATTCAATGGGTGTTGAGCGTTCATAAATTCATCAGTTATTCTGCACTCTGGCACACAGACGAGAGTGCTCTGAAATCGGAGTAGATAGCCAGAGTGAATTTACGAACGGATCCGAATTAACAATGTCCATTGAGAACGCACAACGACTATACCACTTAGCTAAGCTAAGAATGAAGTAAATAATCAACTCAATAAACGTTGGGTAGTTAGTTAGATAGCATATAGTTAATATACTGGCAAGTTCGTTGTATTAGTAGCCAACTAATGTTAGGTAGCTAGCTAGCATACCAGTACATACTGCTGTAATGATATGCAATGCAATTCGTAAGGATAGCGTAGCTAACAAATTGTCAGCCAACATAAAGTGTAACGTAACTTATTTGAAAAGTAATTACTTAATTACATTGGTCAACATTTTCTTAACATTTGTTATAATTAGTTAAAGCTATTAATTTGTATCCGCTCTCGTCGGACTTCGGCTGCATATTTTCTGCCATTTTATTCAAATCTGAAAATTGTGAAGCCACACCCATTTTCTGAAGAATTGAATTATGGGCCTTAAAAAAACGGAAATAGTGTCCACTGCTTGTGTACTTCGTATTTTGGCGAATGTAGTACGACATCTGGGAATTTTTGGCATACTAACTATATCCATACTAAGACCAATAAGCATACTACATACACACAAATAGTACGGTTAGTATGAGTATTCAAACACAGTTTTTGTGATTAGAGTGAAGCTGACTGGGTTGGGTAAGGTAATGCAGGGAGAAATACACAGCAGGCAGAAGCAATCCCACACAGAGCTTTAGAACAAGCCTTAAATAATCTGCCCCCATGATTGTTGAAGGCTTGCACTAAAGCTCTGTGTGGGCTTTCTTCTGCCTATTCAATAGTGGGAATGTAGTTAGAAATTCAACGATCAGAACAGCCATATAATCCGAACACACACAGAATGTTGCATCCCAGTGAATATTCCAAAGTTATTCCCAAATATGCTTACAAAGTTTAGCAGATAGGGAGGTGTAGAAGTAGATGCCAGATATAACGAGTAAAACAAAATACATAAATACAGGGTTCTCCCAAAAGAATGCACTGCGCCACCTTGTAGACGGGCTGCTCCTCTATGTGTTCTTTTTAGCTTTATTTGTTATCATACGCCTGGCTCTAAATTGCAGGAAATGGCAGTTACAGGTGTTAAAAAAACACAAACAATCTCAGAGTCCAATGGGTTGTAAAATGTCATGGTCAAAACATGTTGATGCAACAGTAGCTAAGATGGGGAGAAGTCTGTCCATAATAAAGTGTTGCTCTGCCTTCTTAACAACACGGCAGGTCCTACAGGCCCTAGTTTTGTCGCACCTGGACTACTGTCCAGTCGTGTGGTCAGGTGCCACAAAGAGGGACCTAGGAAAATTTTATTTGGCTCAAAACAGGGCAGCACAGCCGGCCCTTAAATGTACAATGAGAGCTAACATTAATGTCAATCTCTCATGGCTCAAAGTAGAGGAGAGATTGAATTCATCACTACTTGTTTTTGTAAGAAGTATCGACATGCTGAATGCACTGTGCTGTCTGTTTAAACTACTAGCACACAGCTCAGACACCCATACATACCCCACAAGACATGCCACCAGAGGTCTCTTCACAATCCCAAAGTCCAGAGCAGACTATGGGAAGCGGACAGTACTACATAGTGCCATGGCTACATGGAACTCTATTCCACATCAGGTAACTGATGCAAGCAGTAGAATCAGATTTTAAAAAACAGTTAGAAATACACCTTATTGAACTGCGGTGACTGTGAAGAGACACACATACACCGACACGCATACACATGATAACACACGCACTCTACACACACGTACACATGGATGTTGTATTGTAGATACAGTATTTGGTAGTAGAGTAGTGGCCTGAGGGCACACAATGTGCTGTGAAAAGTGTTATGAAATGTACTGTTATGTAAAATGTGTTATTGTATATAACTGCCTTAATGTTGCTGGACCCCAGGAAAAGCAGCTAATGGGGATCCTTAATAAATACAAATGGCAGAAGGACTGATACTGTTGGCTTTGCTGCTTCAGAGGGGCTAAGGTTGAGGTGAGTAAGCAATGTTCTTGCTACCCCGAGGGCAGATGTGCAGAGAAGGTATGATTAGGACTGTGCTGCCTCCAGGGAAGATACTATGACAGAAAGACATCTTGGGCTTTTTATTTTTCTGCCTCCAGGGAGGATAATAAGATTGAAGTAATCTAGTGCAGTTATTGCTGCCTCCGCGGAGGTTACTAGGGTAGAATAGCTACGTTGAAAACACGGCTGCCTCTGAGGAAGGCTATGTTATAGAATAGACAATACTTTTTTGTTTTTGTTGCCTCAGAGGAAGATTAATTTGGAGAGGAGTAATATGATTGTTTTTCTGCATTGGAGAAAGTTATGGCAGAACGAGTGATACAGAGGGGGTAAGGTTGAGGTGAGTATTACACCGGTACCCCCCTGTATATAGCCTCCCTACTGTTACTTTATTTTACTTCTGCTCTTTTTTGTTGTTGTTTTATTTTACTTTTTTATTAAGAAATAAATGCATTGTTGGTTAAGGGCTGTAAGTAAGCATTTCACGGTAATGTCTACACCTGTTGTATTCGGCGCATGTGGCAAATAAAATTTTATTTTATTTGAGTAAGCAATGTTTTTGCTACTACGGGGGCAGATGTGCAGAGAATGTATGAACTGTGCTGCATCCAGGGAAGATACTATGACAGAAAAGCATCTATCTATTCAATGCTCATGCTATCTATTCAATGCAATTAATAGTCTGATTTAATTTACAATTTACAGATTTAAAAAAACATAGTTACCCTTTTCTTGCAAAACAGAACTTTGTTAAATGTGGCTTCCCAATTAGCAAGCTAGCTAATGATGTGGCTATGTTAGCAAAACAGTTGCTAAATAAAATGGCTAAAAAGTTTAGCTATTGCTTACAAGGAGAGCTTATAGATTGATTAATCAGAATACAGCAACAATAATTTTGCTGATAGCACCCAGCTAGTTTGCTAGCTAATACATCTTACCACCACCAGCTAGGCAAGTTATTTAGTGAACAAGATATAAAAAACAAACATGTTCACTTTTTTGTGAGATTAGCATAGAAACAACTTTCAAAAACATAATCATGCATTAAATCACTTAAAAATGCTCACTCACCGTAATAGCAGACTGGTAAAATGTCCTCTGAACATGCAGCCTGTTTGAATAGTAAGCTCCGCCCTCACCACTGAGTCAACCAATCACATAATTTCTACCTTTGGGGCAGAGCTGCCTCCAGAACAAGATTTATGACGAAAAACGCTAACTTGTGAGGGGCAGGCTGTAAATTAAGAGCAGTCGATGTGTTCTGAAAGATGAGACATCAGGGATTATAATAAATACAGCTTTGAGTCCAAATGTGTTTTTTACATTTCCATATAACAAAACGCATGTAATTTACAGTAGGCCTATCGACATTCATGATCGCTATTTCACAGTTACAGGGATGACATGGCATCATACCCCGGGTTGTTCTGAACAGAATGTTCACCGCATTGTGAAGAAAATTTACCAGGGAAGACTCCAGTCTTCACACACCAAAAGTACTACCAAAAGTGTATTTCTCTGAAGTGCCTTGGGAAAGTAAGATCTTATTTTATAATTAGCTCAGTAATGGGCAACTCTGATGGGGGTGGGGGCCACAAAAAAATAATGAGGGGCCGCAGTGGCTCACTGGTCTGTGTACCCACATCCATACCCAGTCAGAGCCGGCACTAGCCTTTTGGGGGCCCTTTGCAACATTATATATTTTTGTTATTATGTTTTAGAGTTAAATTTCCAGCAGTTCTACACATTTTGCCATGGGGTGGAGAGAAAATTTACAAGGCTCCTAACGTACCTAACTCGCTCCCAGGAATGGCTAATTATTGAAATTCCTTTTGTTGCTACTGATCTAGGTAAAATGCCCTCTATTTTTTACGCGCCACATACATGGAACAAATTTCAGGACACTGAGATTAGATTCACTAGTGCCTTCCGGTCAGTTAAGGGCATTGGTAAGTGACCTGTTCACAGAGGAGTGTTTGTTGTCTTGTTGGGGTGGGAAATTGTATGGGAAATTGGGAAACTGTCTGATTGATTGGATTGTTATTATTATTATGTTCATTCTTGTATTACAGGGCTCATTTGGAAAAAAGATATGGGTCTCAATATGACTCCCTTTAAATAAAGGTTAAATACAAAACAAAATAAATAAAAAACCTTGACATAGTCGTAGGGACAGGTGACGTCAGGGTGGTCCTCGATGTCGAAGGTGTCATCGAACTCCAGGCTGAGCAGGAAACCATCTTCCAGCTCGATGTGATACAGGCAGTCGGAGCTTTTGGGGTAGGGGTTGGGGAAGTCGGAACTGGAGAGCACCCCCGACAGCTCGGTAAACACATTATCACTGCACTCCACTGGAACACACACACACACACACTTAATCAATACATTCCAAGCACACACTAATAACATAGGATTTATGATCATGTGTGATAAACACTTTTATGAACATCCACCATGCACACACAACATACTGTAATAACCCATTTATAGACCGTGCATAGTACACACATTTTATTTCCAGTGAGAGGTGTGAATGTGTACAGTAAGAGAAGATTTTAGCATCTGCAACACATACTGTAACTCTCTGAACTAAACAGACATTTTTCACATATCTTCAGCTGCTTGAATGTAAATATTTGTCATCAATCAGTGACGGCTATCAGTGAGATAGATAGAGGGAGTGAACGGATACAAAACAGACCTTTCTAACTATAACACACACACTCACGTATTCATGCACAAATGCATGTGCGCGGGCGCTCACACACACACACACACACACACAGACACACACACACACACACACACACACACACACACACACACACACATACACAAACACGCGCACACAGGATTTGGGTGCGTCGAAGGTTGCTTAATGTCCCAGAGGTGCCATAGAAGGGTGATGACATGTGGTCAGTGTTGGTCCACAATATAACCCATTCACTTGGTCCTGTGGCACAGAACAAGGAATCTAGTACTAATAGTGTAGAAAAGGCTCTCATTTTTCTCACACTTTTTTGTTAACTGTCCCTTTAATTGCAGGTGCCTCTGAGCCATGGAGATGTGTAGAAATCAGTCCTCAAAAGGGGCTTCCCATGTTATACAGGCTTTTGGGCAGCTCTGGGCACACCTGCAACCAATTTCTCTTGTTAAATACCTGAGTTCCTTTGTCTTTTAGTTCAGTGACAAACAATCCAGGCAGTTGTAAAGAACCTCTCCAGCATTATCCATTTTATTTCTGTTATCTGTGTGTCCAATACCCTGTGGATGATTTAAAGGGATAAAAAAAATTGGAGCTCAAACACTCTCTAAAACGCAAACTAATGTCTCTCTCCTTGTCCTCGAACCGGGACACCTGCACCTGTATCAGCTCCTACATCACCCAGTGCATTCAAAATAGGCAACCTGCCATAACAAATAGCCTAGTGGAAGTAGCCTTGTCCAAGCCAAAACAGACCATAGGGCAGGAGCAAATCTCCAGTTTCTGTAGTGCGAGGCAGCTTGATGTACAAGTACACACCCGGCATGGACAAAATGCTAGTTTATCACAGGGCCTTACCCCCAATCCATCTCCTTAATGCTGAGTGCCAAGCATAGAGGCCTTAGTGTAGTGGCCTATTATGCCAGAATTAGGCCCAATCAAGTGTGTGGCAGTTGCCTACTTTGCATAACAATTCTGAATCCATTAAATCTAAAAGGGAATGCGACCTTAACTGACTAAGTAGGAATTCCAGTTCCTAATCCTAATACATTTTAGTCATTTAGCCGATTCTCTTATCCAGAGCGACTTACAATTAGTGAGTGCATAAATTTTTCATACTGGCCCCCCGTGGGAATCGAACCCACAACAATTGCGTTGCAAGCGCCATGCTCTACCAACTGAGCTACAGGAGGGCCAATACAAGTCATTGAGGAGTTTACCACATCAGTCACGGGTTTAATTAATAAGTGCATCGACAACATCGTCCCCACAGTGACCGTTCGTACATATCCCAACCAGAAGTTATGGATTACAGGCAACATCCGCACTGAGCTAAAGGCTAGAGCTACCGCTTTCAAGGAAATCCGGACGTTTATAAGAAATCCTACTACGCCCTATGACGAACCATCAAACAGGCACTCGTCGGTTGTGGCAGGGCTTGCAAACTATCACGGATTACAAAGGGATACCCAGCCGCGAGCTGTCCAGTGACGCAAACCTACCAGACGAACAAAATACCTTGTATGCTTGCATTGAGGCTAGCAACACTGAACCATGCATTAGAGCACCAGCTGTTCCGGACGACTGTGTGCTCACTCTCCGTAGCCGATGTAAGACCATTAAACAGGTTAACATTCACAAGGCCGCAGAGCCAGATGGCTTACCAGGACGTGTACTCAGAGCATGCGCTGGGCAGCTGGCAAGTGTCTTCACTGACATTTTCAACCTCTCCCTGACCCAGTCTGTAATACCTAAATGTTTCAAGCAGACCACCAGAGTCCCTGTGCCCAAGAATGCCAAGGTAATCTGTCTAAATGACTATCGCCCCGCTGCACTCACATCTAATGCTTTGAAAGGTTGGTCATGACTCACATCAACACGTCAGCAAGACAAAGGAGCTGACTACAGGAAACGGAGGGCCGAGCACGCCCCCATCCATATCAACGGGGCTGTAGTGGAGCAGCTCGAGAGCTTCAAGTTCCTCTTTGTCCACATCACTAAGGAATTATCATGGTCCACACACCAACACAGTCGTGAAGAGGGCACGACAATGCCTCATCTCCCTCAGGAGGCTGAAAAAGGCCCTCAGATCTTCAAAAAGTTCTACAGCTGCACCATTGAGAGCATGTTGACTGGCTGCATCACCGCTTATTATGGCAACTGCTTGGCATCCGACCGCAAGGCACTACAGAGGGTAGTGCGTACGGTCCAGTACATCACTGGGGCCGAGCTCCCAGCCATCCAGGACCTCTATACCGGGCGGTGTCAGAGGAAGGCTTATTTGTTGAGGCCCTAAAAATTGTCAAAGACTCCAGCCACCCAAGTCATACTGTTCTCTCTGCTACCGCACGTCAAGCAGCACCGATGCATCAAGTCTGGAATCAACTAATTGTGTATTTATTCCTTGTGCTATTATTTTTATATTATTTATAATGTTTTTTTTTTCTCTGCATTGTTGGGAAGGGCCCGTAAGTAAGCATTTCACTGTTAGTCTACACCTGTTGTTTACGAAGCATGTGGCAAATAACATTTTATATGATTTTAAGTCTCCTGTTTCTGCCAAAAAGTCATGTTTTTTCAGGGCAGACCTTGTTATTGTTATTCTCTAGGTTTTTACCCACTTACATGTTGATGACATCCTGAAAAATTAGTTACAGTATATGCGTGTTCCCTTCATTTAAATACTTTGGCATTTGGATTGATATGGATTTGACGTTTAAAAAACTTAGATGACCTGGTTAAGAAGCTAAGATTAAATGTTGTCTTTTTCTACAGAAACAGATCATGCCTTTCTCTAAGCAGTAGGACGCATATTATTCAGTCAACCTTTATCTGTTCTTGATTATGGTGATATTATTTATCAAAGTGCAGCTGTTACTACTCTTAAACCTTTGGATGCCATCTACTATAGCACCCTTAGTTTTGTTACAGATTACAGTTTTGATACTCGTCACTGCATCCTGTATCAAAAGGTTGGCTGGACTTCTTCATTGCGCCCTTTTTGTTTACAAGGCCCTACTTCATAAACTTCAGTCTTATCTAACTTTACTGTTGAAGTATAGACACCTGAGTTGCCTAACCCTTTCACAGGATTGGTTAACTCTTGAGGTTCCTAGGGTCTCCATCAAGCTAGATAAATCTTAATGCTCTGGTTCCGTTCGGGCAATTTAAGGTATTGATTGAGGAATGTAGCTGTTTTTCTGGGTGATTTGTGGTGTTCTATTTGTGCTTCCCATGACTGTTCTTAATAATATAACAAATGAAACATCAGAATTGTTTCGGGATTTAGAACCACATATGAAATTGCAATAAATTTGAACTCAAAGATTAGATTCCACATGGTTTTTGCTGTTAACACATTGGGGAAAAGATCTGATTGGAATCGTACTGCCTTCGTAAACAAATTCATATTTCCCAGAGCATTAGCTGCTAAACACTTTACGTTTCCCCCTCCCCAAATGTATTATCGATACACAATACACATTTTAACATCAAAATTGGTTGGCATGTAGGGAAGGGGGTTGGAATGGGGAATCCTAAATATATAATGCATAATAATTGGTAGTTATTCACAAATACAGTTAGGTAGAACAATTGCCACAATGTGTGTGTAACACGGCGTGAGAGCGTGTCATAAAAAAGGAACTCTTTAGTATCCCCAAGTGTACTTTACAAAGATGAAAAGCCTAGAACCTGTGGGGACAAGGTAAACAATACCTCGACAAGTCCTGTTGTCAGAGTGCAGCAGGTAGCCATAGCGACAGGAGCAGTAGTAGCCACCGATGTAGTTGTGGCAGAAATGGTCACAGGCCAGATCCTCATCGTTCCTGTCCCTGCACTCATCCACATCTAGAGAGAGAGAGAGCGAGAGAGAGAAAGACTTTCTGTTCAAGCCCTGCACTAACACACCTGAGTCAACTAATCACCTAACCCTTGATTAGCTGAATAGCTGTGTTAAAATAGAATACAAATTAACTTTATTATATCCTATTGGTGCTGGGCTGCAACAAAAGCCTGAACAACCTATGGGTCTAGCCTGGACCAGTATTGAAGAACACAGATTTTTATGTTTTAATGTTCCTCACACAAAGTAGTCTATGGGCCAGGAGAAACTGTCATCCATGGTCCGGTTTCCTTTAAACAGCCACTACAAACTTCAACAAACTTTAGTGACCACTAGCTAACAATGAATGGAAGTGATAGTAAAGGCCGCTCACCGATAGCGCTGTAGTGGGACTCAAAGCCCAAGAAGCGTTCCTCATTGGAGAAGTCGGACCGGAAGGAGACACTGAGGGAGTTCCTAGGGGAGCTTATGACCTGTTCTCCTGGGACCTGCTCTGTGTCGCTGTCCTCGCGCCCACAGAACGCTGCCAGCTCCTCTCCATTAGCCTCCACCTGCAGAGAAAGAGTAGAATGGACTTGTGAGCACAAAGTCACATACACATACAGCTGCACATATGCAGACACACACACAATAATATGTAGGCCTACAGTACATGACATTGACATTAATTGCCCCCTATATCAGCTATTGACTTGATTTTCTCATGTAAAGCTTTTCATAAATCGCATTTCAGATTAATATTGGAATGTTTTAGTGGAATGTCTTTGTTGACCTTTTCTAATGATTTCCTCTAAATGGCCTTTTTGTCCACTAATTAATCCATTCCAAATACATCCCCCCTGTGTTTCACCATCTGTGTGTGGTCACACGGATGTACGCACACACACGCACACACTTTTTAGAACACCAGTCTTATCTGGCTCTCTGATAGCATGTTTACACTGAGTGTGTCAGTGAACGGTCGGTTAACCCCAGCTACAACAGAGCAGCATGTGGGAGTTAGAGGCACACTCTGACCACAGCCCCAATACCACAGAACAACACTAGAGAATTTCTACGACTACAAGCAAAGCAACAATCACAGTTATACCACAGATATTACAAAACACTTCCATTGTGTGCTTATTCACTCTGATGTAAATGTGCAAGCATACATGCACAAACACACAGGCACACACACTCACAGATCAGCGTCAGACATATACAGTACATCTTCATTCAAGAAGAGGACAACACAATGTTATCTGTGTCTGTCGCAGTTCGCAGGACTGAGAACTGTGGGTAGATGAGTAGTGTTATGTGTCTGTGTGTGTGTGCGAGCATCTGTGCGTGTGTGTGCATGCACAAGGATCGCTATGCATTCTGCACCCCAGGAGGTGGGGGTCTGGCGAAGGTGGTGGAATTCAAGCAGACATCTCACGAAGGAACTTCACCAAAAGAGCCTCATTGATGAGCTGTGAATTTGGCAGTGGGAATTGGGAGGCTACTTATGCTGCGGTAAAGTTTCCCCTAGATACAGATCCAATCCTAACCTTAGCCATTAGTGGGGAAAATGTCAAACTGACCCAAGATCAAAAACACACACACAAAACCACCCCCTTTCCCCCTTATAAAACACAGACAAGAATGCATTGCTTTGTGAGAAAGCAGTCATCTGGTCCCTCTGTTGTCCTTTTGTATCTGGCAGCTGGTGTGCCGCTGGGAGTGTTGCAGTGGTGCCCTGTAGCGTTATTTGAATATGAATATGAGCTTGGTGGGAAGTGAATGCTTCAGAGTCGCAGTGGAATGCATGCTATTAACGCCGTCGGTAGGACACCAACACGCTGACCTGCCTGTCTGTCTGTCTGTCACACACACACCCTCTCGCTCTGTCTTTCTCGCTTACACACACACACACACAGCACAAACGCATACAGGCCTACACACACACACAGCCCCTCAACATTAGTGTAACTTGATTACCCCCAGCAGGAGATTTGTTTAGCAGAAGAATCATCCATACAATTGTATACAATTTGGCACTCTCTCTCAGCTATTTTCTGGTTCTCATAGGGGATGTAATGATACTCTGGTTGCATTCCGATTCTCTACCGTTCACTTCCTCATGCATTGAAAAGCATTTGATTGGTGCTTCTGGGGCCTCATTTATAAACCGTGCATACTGTACATACAAAATATACCCCAAAATGTGCGTGCCCCAATTTTCCCGCAAAAGTCGGCAATTATGAAAACTTAACTTGACGTGAGAATGTCCTTTCCTCCAAGCAAACTTTAGACCATTGGTGCCCAGGACATCGATCGCGGTCAACTGGTTGATCGCCAAATTCTTTCTAGTAGACCGCATAAAAGTATATTATTTTGGCAATTCACAGCGTTACCATCGAGCGTGTTTAAAAATAATGAGGTCCACAGCTCTGAAGCACCGTATGCTTTGCTTACAGGTTAGCTTCTTTCTCGAATATTACCGCACAGCAAAATATTTTTAAAAACTGCTTGACTGACATAAAATTGGACCAACCTGCGGCACTAGATGCTACATTTGTTTTCCAAACTGTCGCTACCATAGCAACCGTCTGCAGTTAGTATGTTTACATTTCCAAGCTTGCAAGACCTGTAACAGACCTGTAACAGAATATTCTTTGTTGTTCCAGTGGTAGTTGTTTTTACTACTTTTTTTCTATGAAGTTGCGGTTACGTTTTTAATATGAGTGCTGGACCAATCAGCAAGAAACCGAAAACCTACCACTTTCACAGTGAGTGGGAGGAAGATTATTTTTTCACCACAACAAATTCAAAATGTGTGTGTCTGACCTGCCATTCAAACGTAGCTCTTGCTAAGAAGGGAAATGTCGAGAGGCATTTCAAAACTGTTCACAAGAAATATGAAAGTGACTTTCCAGCTAAAAGTGAACTACGTAAGAGAAAAGTAAGAGTTGAAGTCTGAAAGTACAGGCACAGGCTACAGTGCCTTGCAAACGTATTCATCCCCCTTGGTGTTTTTCCTATTTTTTTGCATTACAACCTGTGATTTAAATTGATTTTTATTTGGATTTCATGTAATGGACATACACAAAATAGTCCAAATTGGTGAAGTGGAATGAAAAAAATTACTTGTTTCAAAAAATTCTAAAACATAAATAACGGAAAAGTGGTGCGTGCATATGTATTCACCCCCTTTGCTATGAAGCCCCTAAACAAGATCTGGTGCAACCAATAACCTTCAGAAGTCACATAATTAGTTAAATGAAGTTCACCTGTGTGCAATCTAAGTGTCACATGATCTGTCACATTATCTCAGTATATATACATCTGTTCTGAAAGGCCCCAGAGTCTGCCACACCACTAAGCAAGGTGCACCACCAAGCAAGCGGCACCATGAAGACCAAAGATCTCTCCAAACAGGTCAGGGACAAAGTTGTGGAGAAGTACAGATCAGGGTTGGATTATAAAAAAAATCAGAAACTTTGAACATCCCACGGAGCACCATTAAATCCATTATTAACAAATGGAAATAATATGGCACCGCAACAAACCTGCCAAGAGAGGGCCGCCCACCAAAACTCACAGACCAGGCAAGGAGGGCATTAATCAGAGAGGCACAAAGAGACCAAAGATAACCCTGAAGCAGCTGCAAAGCTCCACAGCGGAGATTGGAGTATCTGTTCATAGGACCACTTTAAGCTGTACACTCCACAGAGCTGGGCTTTACGGAAGAGTGGCAAGAAAAAGCCATTCCTTAAAGAAAAAAATAAGCAAACAAAAGGTTCGCCAAAAGTCATGTGGGAGACTCCCCAAACATATGGAAGAAGGTACTCTGGTCAGATGAGACTAAAATTGAGCTTTTTTGCCATCAAGGAAAACGCTATGTCTGGCGCAAACCCAACACCTCTCATCACCCCGAGAACACCATCCCCACAGTGAAGCATGGTGGTGGCAGCATCATGCTGTGGGGATGTTTTTCATCAGCAGGGACTGGGAAACTGGTCAGAATTGAAGGAATGATGGATGGCGCTAAATACAGGGAAATACTTGAGGGAAATTCCAGAGATTTGAGACTGGGACGGAGGTTCACCTTCCAGCAGGACAATGACCCTAAGCATACTGCTAATGCAACACTTGAGTGGTTTAAGGTGAAACATTTAAATGTATTGGAATGGCCTAGTCAAAGCCCAGACCTCAATCCAATTGAGAATCTGTGGTATGACTTAAAGATTGCTGTACACCAGTGGAACCCATCCAACTTGAAGGAGCTGGAGCAGTTTTGCCTTGAAGAATGGACAAAAATCCCAGTGGCTAGATGTGCCAAGCTTATAGAGACATACCCCAAGAGACTTGCAGCTGTAACTGCTGCAAAAGTTGGCGCTACAAAGTATTGACTTTGGGGGGGTGAATAGTTATGCACGCTCAAGTTTTTCTTCTTTTTTTTTTTTCTTATTTCTTGTTTGTTTCCGAAGAAAAAACATTTGCATCTTCAAAGTGGTAGGCATGTTGTGTAAATCATATGATACACCCCCACCCAAAATCAATTTTAATTCCAGGTTGTAAGGCAACAAAATAGGAAAAATGCCAAGGGGGGGGGGGGGGGGGGGGGGTGAATACTTTCGCAAGCCACTGTATATGGTTTTCATAACCATTGCAAAATGTACAATATTTGGCCATTATTATTTACATAATTAATTGTTGATTGATTGTTGATCATTGCTAGACAACCATTTAAGTCTTGCTACAAATTTTCAAGCAGATTTAAGTCAAAACTGTAACTTGGCCACTCGGGAACATTCTTCTTGGTAAGCAACTCCAGTGTAGATTTGGCCTTGTGTTTTAGGTTATTGTCCTGCTGAAAGGTGAATTAATCTCCTAGTGTCTGGTGGAAAGCAGACTGAACTAGGTTTTCCTCTAGGATTTTGCCTGTGCTTAGCTCCATTCCGTTTATCTTTTATACTGAAAAACTCCACAGTCCTTAACGATTGCAAGCATACCCATAACATGATTCAGCCACCACTATGCTTGAAAATATGGAGAGTGGTATTCAGTAATGTGTTGTGTTGGATTTGCACCAAACACTTTCAATTTCAGGACAAAACGTTAATTGCTTTGCCAAATTTTTTGCAGTTTTCTTTAGTGCCTTGTTGCAAACAGGATGCATGTTTTGGAATATTTTTGTTCTGTACTGTCAATTAGGTTAGTATTGTGGTGTAATAACACTGAACAAAAATATAAACGCAACATGTAACTTGTTGGTCCCATGTTTCATGAGCTGAAATAAAAGACCCCAGAAATGTTCTAAAAAGCTTATTTCTTTAAATTTGTTTACATCCCTGTTAATGAGCATTTCTCCTTTTCCAAGATAATCCTTCCACCTGGCAGGTGTTGCATATCAAGAAGCTGATTTAAAAGCATGATCATTACACAGGTGCACCTTTTACTGGGAACAATAATAGGCCACTCTAAAATGTGCAGTTTTGTCACACAACACAATGCCACAGATCTTCCCAGTTTTGAGGAAGAGTGCAATTGGCATGCTGACTGCACAAATGTCCAAATGTCCACCAGAGCTGTTGCCAGAGAATTAAATGTTCATTTCTCTACCATAAGCCGCATCCAACGTCGTTTTAGAGAATTTGACAGTTTCTCCAACCAACCTCACAACCGCAGGCCAGGTGTAACCACACCTTCACATTCGGCTTCTTGAAATTGATGAAATTGTGGGTTTGCACAACCGAAGAATTTATGCACAAACTGTCAGAAACCGTCTCAGGGAAGCTCATCTGCGTGCTCGTAGTCCTCACCAGGGTCTTGACCTGACTGCAGTTTGGCAACCGACTTCAGTGGGAAAATGCTCATCTTCGATGGCCACTGGCATGCTGGAGAAGTGTGCTCTTCACGGATGAATCCTGGGTTTCAACTGTACCCGGCAGATGGCAAACAGTATGTATGGCATTGTATCGGCGAGCGGTTTGCTGATGTCAACGTTGTGAACAGAGTGCCCCATGGTGCCGGTGTGGTTATGGTATGGGCAGGCATAAGCTACGGACAATGAACACAATTGATCTATGGCAATTTGAATGCATAGAGATACCATGACGAGATCCTGAGGCCCACTGTTGTGCCATTCATCCGCCGCCCTCACCTCATGTTTCACCATGATAGTGCACAGCCCCGTGTCGCAAGGATCTGTACACAATTCCTGGAAGCTGAATATGTCCCAGTTCTTCCATGGCCTGCATACTCACCAGACATGTCACTCAATGAGCATGTTTGGGATGCTCTGGATCGACGTGTACGACAGCGTGTTCCAGTTCCCGCCAATATCCAGCAACTTCACACAGCCATTGAAGAGTGGGACAACATTCCACAGGCCACAATCAACAGCCTGATCAACTCTATGCGAAGGAGATGTGTCGCGCTGCATGAGGTAAATGGTGGTCACACCAGATACTGACTGGTTTTCTGATCCACGCCCTACCTTTTTTTAAAGGTATCTGTAACCAACAGATGCATATCTGTATGTCATGTTAAATTCATAGATTAGGGCCTAATGAATTTATTTCAATTGACTGATTTCCTTATATGAACTGTAACTTAGTAAAATCTTAGAAATTGTTGCATTTTGCATTTATATTTTTGTTCAGTGTACAATGTTGTTGATTCATCCTCAGTTTTCTCCTATCACAAACTGTTTTAAAGTCACTATTGGCCTCATGGTGAAATCCCTGAGCAGCTTCCTTCCTCTCCGGCAACGGAGTTAGAAAGGACACCTGTAGATTTGTAGTGACTTGGTGTATTGATTCACCAATCCGAAGTGTAATTAATATCTTCACCATGCTCAAAGGGATATTCAATGTCTGCTTTTTGTATTTTTACTAATAGGTGCCCTTCTTTGCGAGGCACTGGAAAAACTCCCTGGTCTTTGTGGTTGAATCTGTGTTTGAAATTCACTGCTTGACTGAGGGACCTTACAGATAATTGTATGTGTAGGGTACAGAGATGAAGTAGTCATTCAAAAATCATGTTAAACACTATTATTGCACATAGAGTGAGTCTATGCAACTTATTATGTGACTTGTTAAGCATATTTTTACTCCTGAACCTATTTAGGATTACCATAACAAAGAGGTCGAATACTTATTGACTCAAGACATTAAAGCTTTTAATTTTTAATTTAATTTTTTTTTAAACTTAATTCCACTATGACATTATGGGGTATTGTCTGTAGGCCAGTGACCAAATAAATCTCAATTTAATCAATTTTATATTCAGGCTGTAACACAACACAATGTGGAAAAAGTACATGGGTGTGAATACTTTCTGAAGGCTATGTATTTCAAGTTTTGCTGTATGTGATCCCATAGGCAGCTCAGTTTATAGCCTATTGACAATTTTAACAGGGGAACATCAAGAAAGTAGATATTTTACTTTGAAGTATGTATGCTACTACTCTAGCTCATTGTAATTTCAATTTGTTTTGAGTAGCCTAGACAATGTTTCAGAACTCGTGAGCAGTCCAGCATATTTAGGTTGGGGGAAAAGTCAATGTAAAACATGGTTTCAGTCAAACATTCTGCTGACAGGTCCACAAAAATGTGCCATTGGTTTCTCTTTCAGAAACTGAAACAGCCCATAAATAATTGATTTTTTTTGTTAACATTCTGCCAACACAGTAGATAGACTGGTAGCATACAGTATGTAACATATTTGACAGTATGGGTAGGCTACAGTATTGCTGTGCAATAGGAGCGCAACATCATAAGCCGATTTAATCTCAGAGCCTATACCAAGGCAGGACATAGAAACACAATAATCTATAGATAAACAAAATATTAAAACAACAATTCATCGTTTGCATAGAAATGTGGGCTGTAGCCTACTTGAAATTGTTTCCAATATACAATCAATCTTGCAGAATGTGTGGACAGGCACTTGCTATAAGCAGCATGCATGTTTAGTTTGAAAAAGTCACTGCAAAACATCAAAACATTCTGTCCACACCTCTACAGAAATGTGATCAAATATGCCATTGCTCTTTCTTTTACAAACTGCCGTGGCCTAATTCCAATATTGCCAAATTACACAGGAAATAAAGGGCGCTATAGTGTCTAGAAAAGGCGAATGGAGTGCGTTTTCCGGGTGGAGTTTTAATGTGCACAGTTTTACAACAGGTCATAAAGTGTACAAGAGCACACTTCGGGAAAAGGGTAGAATCAGACCATGGCCGAAGATACTGTGTCAGACATAGCAGAGACACAAAAGGGAAAGGAGCATTTATCCCGAATGCTTTGCTGCAGTAAGAGCACTCCACACCACAGTTCCTTATGTTGTTGCCATGGTAAACCCTGTTCAGAAGTTGCAACCATTCTGGCAGAATTCTGGTTCTTAGAAATCAAGAGATGGGCCGGGCATCAAAGCCTGGCAAACCAACCCGAACTGGCACCTGCTGCGACCCGGCTCCTGTGCCAATGCAGCCTGGCACATCATCCATCTCTTCACCGGCATAGCCTATTACATTGGCCCATGCTGAAACACTGACATCCTTGGCTGGCTAAACCTGTGCACCTTCTCAGGGACAAACAAATGCCAAATAGTTTAGCAATATGCCAGGGTTTATTGTGCCAGGCAGGCTAATCTATTTAAAAAAATAAAAATCTTCCAAGGATACAAATGTTTATGTCAGGGGAGTTGCATATTAATTGAAATTCATCATTAACTGAACTAAATCCATGTGGGACATTGTCTGTCCCTTTTCGAGGCATTCACTCTGTGTGGATGGCTGATGGCTGGCCACACACACACACAGGTGCACGCACGGATTCACGCACGCACACACAGAGTCACCATTCACTTACCTTGACGTAGTCGTACTCACAGAGGTAGGAGGGTTCTAGGTCGAAGTGCAGGAAGTAAAGTCTGATTTGGAACCCGTCGGGAACGCTGATGTTCCAGCGGACCTCGGCCTCTTTAGGGTAGGGTTCTGGAAAGTTCGGAGAGTTGATGGTGCCATACATGTCACTCAGAGAAAACACCTGAGCTCCAGCGGGGACCATGGACAGTATGTCTAACAGGAACGGTAGAACTCTGGAGAGAGAGGTATTATGATAACTCTCTTTATCTACATTTTATAATAAAAACAAATTGTCACAAAGGAAAGGAAATCTCAACTGAAATGACTATGCTATAGATGGAAATATATTCGTTTTGGGGTATCTTTTTCTTAAGGTTATTTCTGAGCGTTCCCCGCAACAAAATTGTTATCTTGTAGTTTATTTTTTAAAGATTCAAGTAGGCTTAAAGTCATAAAGCTCGTTCGAGACAGCAATTTTCAATTCATAAACCCCTCATGCAGCGACAGAATAAACAGTCATTCATTTAAAACAAACCACATAAAAAAAAACATTTAGGTTATTGCTACTGTGAGTTACTTTAGAGGCCAATTTGAAAAGTATAAACTACCCTACACCTACCCCATCATTGCCGAAGTTGCAGCCATGTCCCGCTTACTGTGCGAAACAGCTGAGCTTCTTTGAACACGACTTTCCCAACAAGTGTTCACGTCACTTCTACCAACCGCATGCGCAAAGTTCGGAATGGAAACAGCTGGAGATGGGTACAACATAGCAGTGGAGGTGAAAACCAATATTCCACTTCTAGCAGAGGCAGTAGTCTATTGCTTTAGATAAGCCTATAAATCTTGCTTCAAATATGATTGCATTTAGTGAACTTCTCAGGGAACCAATTTTGAGCCATACAAGATAGCAGGGAGGATCCAGGGAGGAAGGAGCTAAATTGTTTTTGTTCTGCTTTATCTTCGAATTCTAGTATTTGCACTGGTTTTGTTTGAATAGTATGTATTTGTCCGTTTAACACAGTATTTGTAAGACATTGTAAGTGTGATCGACTGGATTAATCTAGGGTTTTAGGCGCCATTGTTTTAGCCCACTGACCTAAAGTCTTGACACCTTGGGGAGCTAACACAAATCTTCTGGTCTCAGGCTCAACTGTAGATGACTGAACCATCCATTGCAAAAGTTGTCAAAGACTCACAGTCGACTAGGCATTATATCCCATTGGGTGCTTTTGATGACACCTCCCTCCACCGTTACCCTTTCACTCTACCCCTCTTTTTCTCTCTCAAACAAATTTCCTTGTGAGGAAAACAGACTGAAATAGGGAGGGACTTCCTGAACTGGAGATTTTTAAAATAAATTGCGCTACCGGTTACATCTGTCTGCTAATACATGACTAGTAAAGGCCCAGTGCACTACTTTTGAGAGAAAAAACAACAACATTATATATATATATATATATATTTACCTTGTTACTTATTCATATTTTAGGGGGTGCTGCAGCACCCTCAGCACCCCTATTTCCCACGGCTATGCAGGCCACATCCCAATTATCTCTCCTTCTTCCTGAAGTGTGCACTCGTTTACTAGTACTAGGGGAGAGCCGGGACGAAACTAACACAGGGCGAAAGTAACACACCCATTTTCTCACATAACACAGAAGCTAAGAATGACGTAGTGAAGTCAGCACGTTCTAACTGCAGAGGCCGAGCACCCTGCAAAAAAAAACAGTCCAGTCCAACCATGTTTCACCAAGTTATCAACAAAAAGTGATTTTGAGCAATGTAAGTTCAGAAAAACGGACCCTGAAGAGTTTTTCGGTTGTAGAGTTGTGTTTAGTTGTTTAATGTTCAAAAAATACACTACCAGTCAAAAGTTTGGTCAAGGGTTTTTCTTTATTTTTACATTGTAGAATAAAAGTGAAGACATCAAAACTATGAAATAACACATATGGAATCATGTAGTCTCCAAAAAAGTGTTAAACAAATCAAAATATATTTTATCTTTGAGATTCTTCAAATAGCCACCCTTTGCCTTGATGACAGCTTTGCACACTCTTGGCATTCTCACAACCAGCTTCATGAGGTAGTCACCTGGAATGCATTTCAATTAACAGGTGTGCCTTCTTAAAAGTTAATGTGGAATTTATTTCCTTCTTAATGCGTTTGATAGCCTTATTTGGTAAAAGACCAAGTCCATATTATGGCAAGAACAGCTCAAATAAGCAAAGAGAAACATTTTTACATTTACATTTTAGTCATTTAGCAGACGCTCTTATCCAGAGCGACTTACAGTTAGTGAATACATATTTTTTTATACTGGCCCCCCGTGGGAATCGAACCCACAACCCTGGCGTTGCAAACGCCATGCTCTATCAACTGAGCTACATCCCGGCCGGCCATTCCCTCCCCTACCCTGGACGACGCTGGGCCAATTGTGCGCCGCCCATGAGTCTCCCGGTCGCGGCCGGCTGCGACAGAGCCTGGATTCGAACCAGGATCTCTAGTGACACAGTTAGCACTGCGATGCAGTGCCTTAGACCACTGCGCCACTCAGGAGTCCATCATTACTTTAACGACAGTCCATCATTACTTTAACAGGAAGGTCAGTCAATATGGAACATTTCAAGAACTTTGAAAGTGTCTTCAAGTGCAGTCGTAAAAACCATCAAGCACTATGATGAAACTGGCTCTCATGAGGACCGCCACAGGAATGGAAGACCCAGAGTTACCTCTGCTGCAGAGGATAAGTTCATTAGAGTTACCAGCCTCAGAAATTGCAGCCCAAATAAATGCTTCACAGAGTTCAAGTAACAGGCACATCTCAATGTCAACTGTTCAGAGGAGACTGTGTGAATCAGGCCTTCATGGTCGAATTGCTGCAAAGAAACCACTACTAAAGGACACCAATAATAAGAAGAGACTTGCATGGGCCAAGAAACACGAACAATGGACATTAGACCAGTGGGAATCTGTCCTTTGGTCTGATGAGTCCAAATTTGAGATTTTTGGTTCCAACCGCCTTGTCTTTGTGAGACGTGGTGTGGGTGAATGGATGATCTCTGCATGTGTATTTCCCACCGTAAAGCATGGAGGAGGAGGTGTTACGGTGTTGGGGTGCTTTGCTGGTGACACTGTCTGTGATTTATTTAGAATTCAAGGCATACTTAAACAGCATGGCTACCACAGCATTCTGCAGTGATACGCCATCCAATCTGGTTTGGGCTTAGTGGGACTATCATTTGTTTTTCAACAGGACAATGACCCAACACACCTCCAGGCTGTGTAAAGGCTATTTTACGAAGAAGCAGAGTGATGTGGAGTGCTGCATCAGATGACCTGGCCTCCACAATCCCCCGACCTCAAACAAATTGAGATGGTTTGGGATGAGTTGGACTGCAGAGTGAAGGAAAAGCAGCCAACAAGTGCTCAGCATATGTGGGAACACCTTCAAGACTGTTGGAAAAGCATTCCAGGTGAAGCTGGTAATGCCAAGAGTGTGCAAAGCTGTCATCTATGCAAAGGGTGGCTATTTGAAGAATCTCAAATTTAAAATATATTTTGATTTGTTTAACACTTTTTTGGTTACTACATGATTCCATATGTGTTATTTCATAGTTTTGATGTCTTCATTATTATTCTACAATGTAGGAAATAGTACAAAATAAAGAAAAACACTGGAATGAGTAGGTGTCAAACTTTTGACTGGTACTGTATGTCATTTTCTTAACCCATCTACTGACTAAATGACAGCATAGGTCTCAAGTATTATGCTAGCTAGTCTTGGGTGTTAGCCTGGGAGAAGTTACAGGAGATACGGGTGGTACGAAAGTAACAATGTTAACTGATGACCTGGAATAAAAAATAAATACATGTTTAAGCACAGGCCATTGTCTCCTCTAGTTCATATTGCTTTTATAATGTTAGCAAAATATCAACAAGTGACTGATGTTTGAAAATTATGACATCATTGGAATCATGTCTTAATCAGTTGACTTGATGGATCAGTTTCTATATGCATCTATGATTCTGGGGATCAATTACGTTGTGTCATGCTATGGAAGTGTGATAAGCGTGATGAGTTTGCCATTTGTGAAGAGAATAAAACTGTTTAATCTATCAAGACACGAGGAGTGTGCTTGACAAGGACAGCTAGAGGGCACCTGATTGGTAATGCTAAACATGAATAGTCATTGAAAATGTCACATCTACTCCCACTCCTCCCCTCCGGCGTTCAACGTCGCAGGTCCTGGAATTCATCATTACGCGCCTGCACGTCATCAGGCACACATGGACTCCATTACCTCACTTATTACCTCCCCAATATCTGGCACTCCCTTAGGTTCTTTCCCCAGTCAGTGTTGTTCCTGTGTTTATGCGTAGCCGCTACTGCTATGTTGTCCCGCTCCATGTTTGTTGCTTTATTAAACGTTTCACCTGCACCTACTTCTCGACTCAGTCTTCGTTACTGAAAAACATATCCTACTACATTCCCATTAAAGTAAGATGAGAAAATGGTTAAAATACACTGCTCAAAAAAATAAAGGGAACACTTAAACAACACAATGTAACTCCAAGTCAATCACACTTCTGTGAAATCAAACTGTCCACTTAGGAAGCAACACTGATTGACAATACATTTCACATGCTGTTGTGCAAATGGAATAGACAACAGGTGGAAATGATAGGCAATTAGCAAGACATCCCCAATAAAGGACTGGTTTTGCAGGTGGTGACCACAGACCACTTCTCTATTCCTATGCTTCCTGGCTGATGTTTTGGTCACTTTTGAATGCTGGCGGTGCTTTCACTCTAGTGGTAGCATGAGACGGAGTCTACAACCCACACAAGTGGCTCAGGTAGTGCAGCTCATCCAGGATGGCACATCAATGCGAGCTGTGGCAAGAAGGTTTGCTGTGTCTGTCAGCGTAGTGTCCAGAGCATGGAGGCGCTACCAGGAGACAGGCCAGTACATCAGGAGACGTGGAGGAGTCCGTAGGAGGGCAACAACCCAGCAGCAGGACTGCTACCTCCGCCTTTGTGCAAGGAGGAGCAGGAGGAGCACTACCAGAGCCCTGCAAAATGACCTCCAGCAGGCCACAAATGTGCATGTGTCTGCTCAAACGGTCAGAAACAGACTCCATGAGGGTGGTATGAGGGCCCGACGTCCACAGGTGGGGGTTGTGCTTACAGCCCAACACCGTGCAGGATGTTTGGCATTTGCCAGAGAACA